TTAGATCAAAAACTGATGAAACTTTATTTAATCTGCTTTCTTTGACAGATGAAAACAACACTACAAGGATATCAACAAGAAGTGATGAAGACTCTTACTATCTTGCAATCGGTTATGAGCAAAGCCGTATCTGAACAACAAAGCCAGAACGATGGTTCCTTGACGCTTACGTCATCACAACAACAAGCAATTAAGGATATAATTTTGAAATGGGAACAAGTGATGTCTCAGTTCGTGAAAGTTGCTACGGAGAGCGAGAAACAATTTTCAATGGAGACTTCAACTGGACACAGCTATCATATAAAGAGTTCTACCTCCAGCTCTACCTCTACCTCTAGCTCGAATTCAGGTCCGGGTTTAGATTTCAAGCCCAACGATGAAAGTTCGAAGATGGTTGATGACTTGATGTAAATAGCTAGAGGGTACATTTTGTGAATAGTTAACTCCACAAAATATTTTTATGATTCATTAGAAATATATGCTGTTGTAAAGTAAATCCAAGTCGTCTTGAGGTTTAGAATTTTAATTATAGGGTTTAAATAAGTACGAATAGAAATTGTGAACGTGCTTGACTAAGCAAATTTTGTCTCGTGCATATCTAAATAAAGAAGTCTCATAACTCATTGATAACATGCATTATGCATATATCTATATGTTTAGGACTCAGATCATTATGTGTGTTTGGTCTGAGACATTTTTCGTGTCTTTTGGTGTTTCTATCATTTTGAGTTGATTCTTAACTTCTAGAATATACAAACATTCAAGGCAACAAAATCATTCAAAGATTGCATCATTAAGAAAACTTGCCACCGTTGGTTAAATATAAATATTATATAGCTAGAAGAAAAATGATTTCATTTAGCGAATATCAGATCAATGGATTGACAGAAGTGATCATTTTAGAGGCGTCGTGTCAATCTTGCAGTGAAAGCACTGTGGAATTTTCTCATATTTGACTAGTTTGATCCAAATCCGATCTTGTCCCAGTTCTTACTCTATACCCTCTTTTTCATCTAATGTTCAGGAGATGAATACATGGGAAAGGAAAAAAGTATTGTTGGAATCAAACACCATTTGGGAAGGATTCAATCATTTATGGCCTAAAAACCCTCCAAATATTTTGGATTGGTGGATTTATGGCGAAAATAAGAAGATTGAAGATCTCATCCATCTCCATTATTTGGACTTGTTTGGTAATCTTTAGTCTTTTGATCATGTTTATGTATAATCAGGTTGCTTAGCAAGAACCCTTGTTCTAGAGATTTTCGTGTCAATACTTTTGGCTCTATTAGTGGAATTCATGATTTAGGCTGCTTCTCTTTCTACACTTTTGGCATGGCAAATTCTCTACATGTTATAAATGAATTTAAATAGAAGTTGCAGTTACGTGATCATTAATATTTTATTAATGCTTGCTTGGCTCACTAATGGCTTATAAGATTTATCAGGATCTGTAATGGCTTTTGCATAAATTATGGATTTATGATCATTAATTTCAATAATTATTTAAAGTATATTTTTGTTTTATAATTTTAATTTACCTTTTTTATAAATAATTCACGTGAAGGATGATATTTGAACTGGGAAATGTTACAAAAGATATAAAACTAAAGAGAAAAGACTGAAAATTTGATGTAAATATACGTATATCATTTCTTATTATTACTTTCTCACAATTTAATGTATCGTGTATATATATACTCACAACTTTTAATATATTGATATATTACAACAACAATAACAAAAAAAAAAAAAAAAAAATTATGCATGCAGTAAGCTAGCGCATGTCAGTACGTAATTCTCTAGTGTTTTTACTTAATAATAGATTTATAGCAAAACCATTCTACAGCTCACTGCTGCAAATCAGCAGGGCCGTCTCTTTATTAAAATAACAGTATTAAAATTTTCTGACATCTTAGTCCCGATCCTACGAGTTAAATTTGGCGTTGCCAGAGTTTTTCTCCTCAGAGGAATGGCTGAAGGAGCTTTTGTCTGAGGATTTTGAGTGTGTCTTTTGATAGTTGACAGAACCTTCATAGCTAACTGAGCCGATTTTTCCTTTGAAAGATTTGCCTTGTGAGCCTCCACTACCACCTTCGGCTGAACCTCCTCCAGCAGCGGAAGAACCACTCTCCGATGATGAACTTGATCCTTGAGCTGTGGCGCTTCCTCCTGAAGCTGAGCTATCAGTTGTACTTCCACTCGGTGCACCGGCGGATGCTCCAGCTTCATAAGATGAGCTTCCACTTCCACTTCCACTGTAGGAGCTCTCACCACTACCAGAAGCGGAACCAGAGGGGCTACCGGTGGGACTTTCCATTGTATTCCCACCTGTAGAATCCGAGTAGGAACCTCCACCACCAGCCATTGAACTTGTGCTGCCGGAGGCACTACTTTCACCACTGGCGCTTCCACCGACGGCAGTTTTACTATCTTCAGAACCTGAGGTTTCACCACCAGCACCTGAGCTTTCACCACTAGCACCTGAGCTTTCCCCACCAGCACCTGAGCTTCCACCACTAGCACCTGAGCTTCCACCACTAGCACCTGAGCTTTCACCACCAGCACCTGAGCTTTCCCCACCAGCACCTGAGCTTTCCCCACCAGCACCTGAGGTTTCACCATCAGCACCTGAGCTTCCACCACTAGCACCTGAGCTTTCACCACCAGCACCTGAGCTTTCCCCACCAGCACCTGAGCTTTCACCACCAGCACCTGAGCTTCCACCACTAGCACCTGAGCTTTCCCCACCAGCACCTGAGCTTTCTCCAGCAGCACCTGAGCTTTCTCCACCAGCACCTGAGGTTTCACCACCACCTGAGCTTCCACCACTAGCACCTGAGCTTCCACCACCAGCACCTGAGCTTCCACCACCAGCACCTGAGGTTTCATCACCAGCACCTGAGCTTTCAACACCAGCACCTGAGGTTGCATCA